ATCATGGGATTCTCCATTTAAGATACCATATGATGTAATTTATACAACCATATAGTCTAAAACCAGTCGCTCTTCACTTTAATCTGCAATGATATCGTTTTTGTCTTTTCTGTTAACACAAGCTCAATTGATGGTATTTGCTGGTGTACACGTCCAAGTGTTTTCTCTTTGAAGACCTAAATCCTTTGAAGTATCCTGAAAGTATATTCGAAAGTGTCCAACTTTTTGAAACATCTTGGTATGTCTGACAGCCAAATTTCCCTGCAAATTTTTGCTTACTTTTCTCCCTAATTTTCTTCTTTCCTTCTACAGTTATTTTCAGTGCTCACAGAAGAAAATTAAGATTTTTCGACTGCTAGAATTCCATAAATTTTACATTCTTGTCAATTTTTTAAAATATCAATTATATGAATTGCATTTCAGCTAAAGACAGCTTTTCATTTTCTAGTCATTTTAACTATAAATAAAGTTTAAAGCGAAGTCCAAAGGATAAATATTTTAATTAAAAGCTTTTTGCTAAATGACAAAGAAATAAAACAGTCCAGCAGGGTTTATTCTGTACTACCGAGTGACCCGATTCTTATATCGGCTGAAACAATCTAAATCATATTAAAGACCATGTTTTTTATACAATCTATAAGAAAGAAAAATTAGCTTCTTAAAACATTCTTTCTAAGAGGATTAATATAAAAGATTATATATATATATATATATATATATATTATATATTAAAGCTGGGACTTGAACTAAACTGTCAATCATTTAAAGCTTTAATCTTTTAAAGCTTTTTTACATGGTGGTTATAATTAAAGTTTCAATTTGAAATGGTCATAAAAAGAAAACTACCGGACCAAATGTTATCAAAACTTGGGAATCGTGTAAAGGAGGTTATAGGAATTTATTTTCCGCGAAAAAAAAAAAAAAAGAGTTCAAAAACTCACCATCAGGGAAAAAATGGCACTGTATACAATATTGTTAAATGAAATAAGACATGAAAACATCTGTTTAAAATGTGTTTAATATTTTTCGAAACGTGTTACAAAGCATGTTCAATGTAGCGTCCAGCATTTTCCGAAACAAGTTAAATCCTGTTACTGCATTCTCAACAGCAGCTCTCAGCATATCAGAAGGAATGTTACGGACATGTCAGTGTATCACATTTTTCATTTCTGCCAAATTGTTTAGATTATCAGCATAAACAGTGCTTTTGAGATAACCCCATAGCCAAAAGTCACAGAGGATGAGGTCTGGTGGGAAGAGGGGAAGTGTCGGCCTATATGACGTTCATTCGTGAAATATTGCCTAAGTAACTGTGCGATACATGTTAGGTGGGGCCCAGCCCTGCATAAATATCCTACTATCTAAAATGCCACGTTAGTGCAGTCCGTGTATCATGAAACATTTTAACATTGACTCTAAGCGAGGTGCAATCACAGTAATCCAGCTGTCGACTTCTTTTCAGAGAAAAATGGTTCAGTTATGAAACCACATGGTGTGGAATGACTGCTATGCAATCGAATGCAGTAGGAGAATGCAATAGAACTAGGTAGATAACATGAGGGATTTCTTTGGCACATATTGATTAAAAGCGTTTTGAATCTTCATGTTTCAGGGCCGAATTCAGGCTTCAAAAATTACAAATTAGCGATCTGTAAGAAAACGATTTCCAGATTGTACGCGCTTGTGCGAGTGATTTGCAATCTCACACTTTCTAATCGCTAATTCGTGGTTTTCACGGACGAATTTCTCACTTACACGGATGGCGCACTCGACTTTTATCGAATTTAACGCTTTTAAATGGGAATTTGCCTACTTCAAAGTTTCTTAAGAATATACAACATATTAAACCCGTGTAACAAAAGGTTAAGTTAGATTCCGACCCATATTTCGTTTAACAATATTGCATACAGCGCCATTTCCCCTTGGTGGTGAGGTTTCGAACTTTTTTTCACGGAAAATAAATTCCCATGACCTCCTTTACACCATTACCAAGTTTGATAACATTTGATCCAGTAGTTTTCCTTTTATAACCGTTTCAATGTGGAACTTTAATTATAACCACTCTGTATATTATTAAAATTTAATTTGAAGCTATGCGTTATATGTATATCAAGCGTAAATGTTTCGCTTTTATGGAAAATAAAGAATCGAAGCAAATACATTCCTTAATTAAATAGCCCACCAGCGGCCGAGAGGTAAAGACGCTGATCACTGGTAGTTCGGTCCGAGATTCGAATCCCGCGAACGGGCTGGTTGCATAGGTGTTTTTGTGGATTTCCCCATATGTAACGTATATACGAGCCAATTTCCCTTAGAAAGTCCTCCACAAAGGCATCCCTCCCTTTAGGCAGATAGCCCACGTGTGCTTTGCCATAATTAAATAATCCAATCAAATCCTTAATTAAATATAATTGATTTGTAACTTCTACAAGAACTGACGTTAAGAATTGAAGTGCAAATAAATAATATCGTGTGCAATCTTGATTAATATAAAATTAAAAATATTTGCACAGAAAAATATTTGCATTCAGACAGAAAGTTTTTTGAAATATTTGCAATTACTTTATAAGAAGGATTTATTAATAAACATAATAATTACTTATTATATTACTGATGATTAGGATTCAGTTCTTGACAATTACATTCTAAATTAGAATTTTAAGAATTATTAGAATTTTAAATTAAAATAATGAAAATACGCTATGCACAAAAGTGCATTTTAGGATAAAAAATGAGTTGATTTTTTATGTTTTAAATTTTCTTGAATTCATTTAATAAACATCGTATCCTCATTGTTAATTGCATTCAGAATGTTGGGTGTCGTTTATATAATTATTCTTACTTGTCCACAGAATCTGCTGACTTATCCAGCCATTAAGTAGCTGCAGATCATTTCTACATAACCATTGAACTTCCATTAATTCAGTCTCTAGAGGGTTGTATGTTTATATCATAATTTGACTTTTATAAAAATGATTATTCTAAATCTTATGTTTCTATAAAAATATACTGTGCTTTAAAAATATGGATGATAGTACCAGCCGCTCTTTCAGCCACTTCAAAAGCATCAGTTTGTTTAGAAATAAATTGTGCAGTTAATGTCATAAAATTCAAATAAACATCAAACGAAAATTCTCAGTTTTAGACAATTCGATTTAAACAAAGTAAAGTAGCAGACGATAAAACACCGAAGGTAAAAATTTACTCTTATTAAAAAAAAAAAAAAAAAAAAAAAAAAAAGATACAGAGAAATTAAAAAAATATTAAAAAATTTAATTAAATAAATAGCTTTTCATATAGTATTAATAAATATTTATTACGCATCATGGAGGGAAAAAATGTCATATAATTAATTCTCCGTAAAATTTCACTTGAAATTTAAGGTTAAAAATAGTTGTGGCAATTCACTGTAACAAAAATCCATAGACCACATTTGGTGGTATTATCACTCAAAAAAAAGATGCCAAATTTCAAAAGTCGAAAATATGTAAATTCGTGTATATCTTAGAAAATTTTGAATAAAAAAATCTAATTTTTTGCAGATATGCTTAAAAATACACCTCCTTTAAGAAAACAATAAAAATTTTATAGGTTATAATTCAAATTTTTTTTCGAAAAATTTATAAAAATTATTTAAAAATAGAAATTTAAAAAATAAAAAACACAAAAAATGGGTAAATTTTATTTGGAATGAACCTAAATTTCGAAATATGAGAGAAAAAATCAAAAAAGTTTAATAAAAAAAGAGATATAAATAAATATTTGCCAAATTCAATTAAAATTGAAGAGCTAAAATTTTGAGAGCTAATATTTTAAAAACTACTCGTACGATTTTTACAAAACTTGGTATTCTGGCATAATTTGAGTCGTAGAATCGAAATATGTAAAAAAATTAGTATGTTATTTCAGAAAACGTCCGATTTTGTGTCAAAATACCTATGTTAGAAAAGTGCTATATATAAATCTAATATATATGCTAAGTCGCGCTTTCGAGACATGAAGAATGCAATTTGAATTTCGTGAATCGGCCCCGTAGAACGGGAGATATAGCACTGTCCCATTTTTTTTTTTTTGAGCAGTGTACATCAAAATTCTAACTGTAATTTGCATTCATTAATACTCTCATTTTAATTTAGTTATTTCCTCTTTCAATCCTAAATATAATAATTGCTTTTAGTAAAACTCTCAGAATCATTTCTGAATTTATTCATGTTATATGATTTTGCAAAAATCTGCTAATGCATATCCTTACTAATGCATAAACTAACCCTGCTAATGCATAAACCCTGCTAACCTGCATAAACCTGCATAAACCCTGCTAATGCATAAACTTACATAAGCACTATCCATTCACAATGATTTGAAATTGTAACTATAATTGTAACTATAGTCCAATAGCATTACAGAATAAGAATAGAAATTGAAGAATTATTTCTATATTATGATATTCATAAAATCACAATTAGAATTCAATGAAAGATAATGAATCCTGACTCATTACTTAAAAAAGATTCTAATTGGTTATCAAGGCAACCTTTTAAACTAAAACTCTATATTATGATTTCAGTGATATTTGAATAAAGCATTTTTACATGTATATATGATACTGCACACACACACAACAAAAAAATCTCAATAAAAAGGAAAAAAAAATAGACATGTATAGACTATGATAGAGTTTTGGAAAATGAATGAGATACAAATATTACGGATTAGCTTCCATTTTAATTTAGAGCTCAATAAATTAATATCATAAAGCTTTTTTCAAAATTTTATTTATATTGTACTAAAGATTAGAGCCAATTTTTAAAAACAAATGAAGTAGTGAGTTTAAATGCATTCTTTAAATTCTGAAAATTTTCATTTAAAATATGAAGGTTTACAAAAAAAAAAAAAAAAAAAAAAAAAAAAAAAGTAGTTAAGATATGTAAGATTCCAAAATTCAATTCAAAATTAATCAAAATTTATATAAAATAAAGCCTGAGCACAGCTTAACTTACTTCCTTCCCATGTGCAGTGTAATAAATTTAAAGCTCCTTCAACCCTCTTCCAATGTGGCAAATGAAAGAATGCATAGGCAATTGCTTCGCTATCACCTCTTTTTAAAATATGTTCAGGTGGAAATATAAGACTTTTCATTTCTAAAAGATACTGCAAATATTTTTTCCATTAGAGAAATAGAAAAAAATCAGCAAATTAAAAAAAACTTAATATTTTAGTGGCAAACCTTAAACTATAAATCTGTATACAAATGATCAAAAAACTATTATGTCATCAAAATTACATGCTATTAAGTTTCTTATGAAAAATATATAAAAATTTCAGTCCAGAATCACAAAGTTAATATAATAATAATAATAATAATAATAATAAAAAGAACAAATTCTATAATTCACAAAATACCAAGTAATCCAAAAAAGGTTAGTGCTGCAGTTTTCAGTGAGAAATAACAACCTAATAATTTCATGCAAATGCATATTATTCAGCACCATCTTTGTTTCAGGTCTATTGCTCAAACATATAGTTATCCATTACCAAAATCAGGTGATAGTCAGATGAAACAATGTTCGAGGAGTAAGAAGAATGAGGAAAAACTTCCCAACTAAGCGTGTTGATTGCCTCCCTGGTTGCTTTCTCCGTATGAGGTTTAACATTCTCTTGAAGAATGACCACTCCTTTCTAGTTGACTAGTGCTGGCTGATTCTGATGAAGTGCAGCTACAACCCTTTATAATCATGAGGATTATAGCATCTCTTATGATAGTATTGCCTCTCTCTAACAATTCAAAATGCAAAATACCAGCGATGGTCCACCAAACACACAGTAGTAGTACCTTCATTTGATAAATGTTTTGTTTGGGGGCAAATGCCACAAAATCAAGAGGCAACCTCCTTTTGTGGTACAGTGTACCCATTTCTCGTCACATGTCAACATCACATGTCACATGTCAATGTCACATGTTACTCATTTCTTGTCACATGTCAACATCTGGTTCAAAAATGGAGCTTTATAGCTATAAATCATACTCTGACACTGACATGCTCACTTCAGAATTACACTTCCTACAGAACTGCTTCTGACACAACAGACATGCCTCACAACTCTGCATTGACTGACGGTTGATGAGAATGTCAATATCTGAAATTATCCTGACATCTTCCATTTGAATTTCCCTTCTCTCCAGCGATACGAACTTTTTCAATACCTCATAAAACTGTTAATAACTTAAAATATAATAAAGTATATCAGGATATCTAGACAGGTAAAAAAAAAAAAAAAAAGAGAAAAAGTCACTATCAAAATTGAAACATCACATAAGGATTTTTTATTAAGGTCTATTTACATGACAGTGCATTATTAAAATGGGCCACATAGATGTTTATATGGAAATTTCAAAAACTACATATTTTACGCAAGTACTATTTATGACTTTTTTAATGTCCTTTTGTATCAGAATTTTTTTGATATGCTTCTGAATATTCAATTTAATTACTATTATACTTATATAAGCATCTAATTATATTTCTGCTCATAATAACAATAAAAACATTACTTCTGCTGATTGCTGAAGGAATGATTCCCTTCAGCAATCAGCAGAAGCGTGATTCCCAATTTATGCTTTTCATTGCCCTGAACTGACAAATAATATTCAGTGTTTCGTTTTCACATCACATTGCATTATCTAGTATTATTTGCAATATACACAAATGCAGCTCCAACTTATTACAGTTATATCATTTGTGAGTAACTGATTTCAAAATATATGAGTCTGTTTCATCCATAATGAATAGAAAAGAAACACTGAAGCAAACTTCAGAATAAAAACAGTCGAAAAACATAATTTGATAAATCAAAATTAGATGAACAACTGAAAATAAACTAAGATTATCTGTTTATTTAGATGGCAAATTAAATATATGTCAGCAACTGCCTCCAAAAAATGTAGATGTGGACTTCTGTTTAGTAGAATATACTGATGTGCGATGTGCAAAAATGCTGTATACTGATGTGTAAAGACATGTGAACAATAGAAAATCACTTGAAACACATATATTTTGTAATAAACTATTTACAGATGATATAAATGAAACAGTAAAGCTGCATTTGAATTTAATCAATACAAGTAGCACAAGATACATGCAATGAGAACCAACAATCATTATTTAATCAATTATAGTCATAAAATTTTTAACTTATTTTTTACCAAAATCATATGAGGATTATTAGATGCTTTAATTATATTCTCTTCCATAAATGCAGTTTTACAATTACTTTTAACTCAAAAGACATTCTACTGGTTTACTTCCATAATTAACACAAATAATTGTTACTGTCATCCCACATATCTAGAACTCATCTACAAAATGAGCACTCGGTGAAAAACTAAAAAATGGTTGCTTAATTAATTAATTTAAGCAAAGTATGTAAGGGTTATCTGCCTAAAGGCAGCAGTGCTTACAGTTACATGAAGGACAAAGCAAGATTTATTAACATTTCCATAAAAAAAGTATTAAGAAAAGGGCAGATTCCCAAATTAATGCAGATAAAGCAAAGTGGAAGTTTATTCACAGCTGGATAAAAATTTATTTTGAAATGATAATACAATTTGGCATTGTTAAATATATCTGAAATCCAAAATACTGTGTTAACCAAAAGATGCAATTAAAATTTAAATGACATAATATATTAACAAAAGAATAAAATATTACAGCTGAAGTTAAATCTATTAAGGTTTAAATAATAAAATAATCAATGATAATACTCTGAAATGCACTCCTTAGCTATTTTCAGAACATCAATAAATATGTAAGGTATTTTGCATAATTTAAAATTATTAATTAATAAAAGAATTTTAAATGAATGCTCAAGAAATTCATTTCATTATCCCAATATAATTAAAATAAAGAATGAAAATTTTATTTTAATCATAACAAACAACAAAACAAAAAGGGATCAAGGAGTTGCAAGGCAAAGCCATATTCTTTAAAGAAAAAAAAAATGTAGCTGCTATATACAATAGATATAATATCAATTAAAAGATGAAGGGAGAATATTTTCAAAGAGAATTTAGTTAAGACTCTTACACAGACAAATAAAAAAAGTGTGGAGAACAGAAATACCATGAATAGCAATACACTTCTCTGAAATAACTGAAATTTGTTTTTAGATAAAATACTAAAGTTAAATATGCAGCTGTCATTACCGAATGTTGCTTAACAAACAAAAATTTTTAATTTAATCAAAATATGTTATCAAAATTTAACTTCCATATCAACATTCAAATTCATAGATAACTAATAAACAAATGACAGATGTATGTATACTAGCCAGCTATTTTGAAGAAAAATGTCAAAAGCATGAAGTATGCACAATCATGGATATATGACACTAACTTTTGGCACATGTGGGTTGAATTCAACTGCTCGATGAATTGCTTCTACAGCATTCATTTCTGCTGTGCTCAGACCACGTTTAGATGCTACATCAGGTGAAAATCTTAGGGGAAAAAAATTATGTTTTATAATTCAATATACATACAGCATGGATTCCAACAATAATCACCTTGGGAAAATGATGGTATTGCAAGGTTCCCACTAAAATTCAATTTTTAATTTTCCTGACCAAAAATATTAAACTAGCTTTTAAATTAAATATGAGTAACTGAATTATTTAATGCATTTATTACAAAATGTACTGCAATAACATTATAAAAATTACATTTATCTTACTTGCTATTGTAAAATAAATGAAAGAAATAATATAGTCAAACCCTGCTATAGTCAATTCACTTTATAACAAATAAAATTTTTGTTCCCCTCCCAATTTCTTACATATTTAATGTTATTTTATGCAGCAATAATGAAATTGAAAATATATGCAAATCATATACAAAGAATTTTATCTTTTATTGAAATTTTTTTCATAATTTGCAAAAATTTTTAATTAAAAAACTGCTAACCCTTAAACTCACCCATTATTAGTTTAATAGGGTAGCAAAAAACACTTTTGTGTTACTGTTTTTTAACATCACCACACATTTTTAAACAAGATCATAAAAAGGTCATAAAAAGCAGCTTAATACTTTATTTTTGGAAAAACCATATGCACAATTAACATAATAAGTATGCTTAAAAGACTGTCATGCACTTCCCAGTGATTCAAAGATCTTGAACATATTCTCTGACTGTAATCAAATTCCTTAATTGAGTTGTAACAGAGTTCTGTTCAAAGCTGATGCTACCCAGGATGAAATTTTTGCTGTTCAAGGAAAGTGGAAGGAGTGACTATATTCTTAAAAGCATGGTGCTGTGAGGTCATCTTTTATGGAATGCAAATGTTTTATTCACTTTAGTTTAGTTTGTTCAAGTACTTAAAACACTCTCTATCTTCTGAATTGAAGTTTTGCATCAAAGTATTCAAGTTTGCATTGGGGGGATTTTGCATGTTTATAAGGAGACAATATTTTAAGGGAAGAGTCCAAACCATGGCAGGCAGATAGCCTTCAAGTGCTTTGCCATAATTAAATAAGCCAAACTAACTAAACAGCAATTTTCGTGCCAAGTAACTTATCATGAAAAATTATGAATGTATGATTAAATTTAGAAAGAGCAAGAAAAAAGCCATTAATTTCATAATAATAGCAATTGTAAATTAACCCTCAATATGACTTTTTTTTTTAAATTAAGAGTTATTATCTACTTTTTTTTTTTTTTTTTTTTTGATGAATTAGAGAATGTAACCTGTTTGCTTTTTGGGGATGGGTAAGTCATCCATTAAATTTTATATTTTTTTAATGGATCAGATCTAGTGAACCGAAGTTCCAGTACCTTAAAGTTTATTATAGCAAGGTTTGACTGTATATAGGAAGCATGCACCTAAGCCATTCAAAAAAGTTGCTAGTTTTAATGGAAAAAAATCAAACTCTGACAAAAACTACTTATTCTGAAAAAGAAATTTATAACAGGGCATCATTCACAATAATTATTATTCCTATGATATATCAAAACAAAAACGAGGAACAAAGAATTAAAATTAGAAAAATATCTACTTAATATAATTACCTATCATAATCATGTACCCAGACAATGTAAGGACTTTTTAACTATATTACTTATTTTTGAAAAACATTTCTAAAGCAAGAATTAATAACACAGTTACGTTTCTAAAAAGAAGAGCAAGAAACAACTCACTGGCAAATGAAGAAGTGAGCTATGGGTTTATAACATTTGATATGCTTTACAATCATTCAGCAGTTATCAAAATCTTAGTACACATTAAACAAATTATTGACAAGTCTAAAATAACAACTGGAACTTGGAAGGGTGTAAAAGACCCTTTTATTTAAAACTAAGAAGAAAAGACACATCTGATGCTCAGGCATGAACAGCAAAACTTAATAGTGCACCCAGTAATGCATAGACTAGTGCGAGCCATACATAAACCTATTTTAGTATTAAGAGGTGTGTGCCCTTTTTTAATAATTATACTGAATATGACACAACAAAAACGAGACTGGTTCAATAAATTATTGCACATACATAATCAGTTCTCTGTGACATTATCATATTCAAAGTAGTTGCCTTCAGCATTCACACACTTTTGCATTCAATGCTGCCATTTCTGGTAACAGTTCTGGAACGAGGGTTTTGGAAGGCCCTTCAGAAGATTCTCCATTTTTGCCTGAACGTCTTCAGCTGAGGTAAAATGGGCCCCCTTTAAGCAAGATTTAACTTTAGAAAAAAAAAAAAAAAAAAAAAAAAAAGCCGCATGGAGCCAAATCAGGTGAATAAGGTGGATGTCCCATCATAGTAATGTTATTGCTGGTCAGAAACTGCTTGAGAGATAGGGCCGTATGAGAGGGTGCATTGTTCTGGTGCAACAATCATCCACTACTCCACAACTGTGGCCATTTTTTCTAATTTTTTCAAGAAGTCTTTTCAGTACTTTAGTGTAGTAATATTGATTAACAGTCTGACCACTGGGAACCCATTCAATCATGATGAATGCCCAAGCGGACACCCAGCCCGTTCATCATCTTCCACACTGTCCCTTTCCCCTGAAAACCACTTATGCCATTCAAACACATCTGTATGAGACAAAGTTTCATCTTCATAAGCCTCGGTTAGCATTTGAAATGTAACACTTATGCCACTGAAACACATGTCTATGAGACAAAGTTTCATCTCCATAAGCCTCGGTTAACATTTGAAATGTTTCCTCCGTGGCAGATTTCTTAAGTTTCACAAGAAACTTGGTGTTGATTCGCTGTTCAGTTTTTATATTAGTCATTTTTCTGGTGGAATGCAGTTGCACATGTTCACTCAATGATGCAGTACTCCTCACTGATGTGCTCAGTTAAGTTGAAACTGGCCGCATGGATAGAGGAAATGTGTGGCATGACATCACCAAAACAGTTATAGACACTCTACTTCAAGCTACACACTCAGTCTTGTTTTTTTGTGTCACACCTCATATGATGTTGAATAATATATATATACAAAGATATCTAGCAAATTTATAGAGATTTCATTTTAGAAAACATATTGCACATAAATTAATTTGTATATTAAAAAATAAGTAAAATAGTATTTTTAATCTGAAAAATCTATGCGAATTAAAAACAAATTTTTACACAATATAAAATACATCCTTTTAAGAGAAAATACGACTCACTTGTCACTGACACCCCTAGCTTTTAAAAGAGCAGCAGTATAACATATTGTAGCAGACTTTGGTAAATTAATATCTGAAAAAACAATAAAATTTTCATATGCTAATATAAATACAAAAATACACCTTTCAAATTAAAATTAATGCTTTTTTAATAATTTTTCTGCTTAAAGCACACAAATCATTTAATAAAGGTGAAGGGAAAAAAGAAAGAAATCCTTTTTACGAATGAATTTATTGTAAAATTGAAAATAATTCTTATGCACGAAGCTGGCAAAAATTGCATCGAGACTAGCTTAGGACATATACAGAAATTACTCAAGAACTGTACTTCTTTTCACAACCATTCACTTTCAGCATCGACTCTCCTACTGCATTACCAAATAAATTGCGGAAAGATACTTTTTTATTTGCAAAGTGTTATTTCAGTTTGCTTTTATTTTCGGTTATATATATATTTCATACTTTTACGGCTTACTTCCCACTAAATATGGGTGTATAATATTTTATTTATAAAATAATACAGTGCAAATAATATACAAACATATAATAAATATTACAACTTCTTACAATATATTTAAGTGATTTAAAAATTTGACTTATGTAAAATTCAAGCTACATAAAGGTTTATGGAACACATTACTTATATAACCTGTAAAAGATATCACAGCATATTGCGAATCACAAATAGGTGCATTCAAGTATTTTCTATATACACCATGTCCATAAAAACCCTAACATGGAAATTATTTTCACAGATGTCGGGCAAAGAAATATACTTCCAGTTACAAAATATTTTAAATATGACAAATATTCATATTTTGATATTTTTAAATTAAAAAATTTCTCTTTTAAAATTACAAAATTACAGTTACAAATTTATACAGTTCCCTGCTTCATACAGTTACGTACAATTTTATAATCACTACAAAAAATAACACAAAAATTTTGACTTCCATAAAATAAAAACTAATGAAGACATTTAATTGTAAAGTCTGAGATCATTATTTTCTGAAAGCTCACAGGTCATATACAAACTGAAGAGCAAGCTATTTAAATTTGAATACAACTAAAAATTAAATATCAGTTTACAAAAAAAAAAAAAAAAAAAAAAAAAAAAAAAAAAAAAAAAAAAAAAAAAAAACATTCTTGCTGATATTATATTAAATGACAATCGTTAGTCAGGCAGGTATTTGAGAAAAATTTTGACCAATAGAAATTTTCAAGAGAGATATGTTGTTTGTAGATTCATAAGTATGCATCATACAGCAATACTATATTCATATGTGTACTATAGCACTATTTGGAAAACAATAACAAGCTTCATGTACAGGCACATAGCAAACCTTAACATCACACTCACACATCACACTAAAATTTTCCGATTCTCACAATTTCTCTGATTCAGATTAAATGAAACTACACTTTGCACACATTTCTCCAACCTTATTTACACTGTATGTATCAAATCATTTCTGCTTTTATCATGAGTTTATGCTAATTTTTAAATTTTAATTTTCTCTGATTCGGCAAATTACTTTCTTAGTTTAAAACGGCTGAAAATTTTTTGTATAAAGTAATGGTTTCTCATATAAATTCTTCTAATATGTTCTTTGCTCAACTCCTTCTCAGGTTATGAAAACTTCAATAGAACTGCAGAATACACATCGTATAAAGTTTATTGCAAATCTTTCAACTTGATAAGGTATTTCAACCAAAGAAAAATTCAACAGTTTCAACAATTTTTTTTAGCTTTCAGTTATATAAGTGCATAATTCATAATACCTCAACATACATTTTTTACAATATGATAACTATTCCAAAATGTTTACAGAGAAATTTAGATAAGACATATATTGGAAAGAATAACCAAAAATAATAAAAAAAAGGTTTTATAATTAATGTACATTATTATTTTTTCTTAATTAATTGCATTTATCATTATTATTAGGTATGCATTATAAGTTTTAAAAAATGTTATACTTTACCATCATATTTGGCAAGAACTGCTTGAACATCAGCATAGGCTTGCATTTCTAACAGAGCTTCTATTAAATTTTCTTGAATATTGAATACATTCATCATTGGGAATTCTTTTATCAACTGTGAAGAAAAAATATAATCATACAGTCAGATTTCAATTAACAGATACCTTCCTTTATCAGACACACTTAATATGCAGTTCTTGAATCTGCAGGCCTCTGACCAATGCATTGCCATTTAGCAGACATTCTCAGATAATGCACAGAAGCTTTGTTATCATAAATGTCTGCTAATGTAAAATTCAATTGCATTAAACTATTTAAATTTATCTCTGCTTTCTGTTATTGTGTTTACCACTTTGTGTTACTGTTATTGTGTTTACCAAGGAATAACATATTTATTTTGAGACTTCTCTATTACAAACGGTATTTAAACTTTGAAAAGCTACAATTTTCAAAACGACTTTATATAATGTACATTATTCCATGTTTGAACACATCCATATAGGTTTTCTTGCTTTAAGGTGTAAATAAGAGAGGAAGGAAGCTTTAAACCAAAATTTAGCAATGAACAACATATAACATTTAACAGATAAGCATACAAAAATAAAATGTTTTATTGAAATGTGCCATTTAGGTACTCTTTAAAACTGGCCACTTAACTAATTTCTCAGTTCATGTCCAGATATTAAAAAGACAATTCAAGTAAGCAAAGTTACTCCTTGAAAACTATAATGTTTATATTATGTTTTGAAAATTATAATATAAGTCAGATATAATTGGAAAATATTATCTAAATGATAGATCGAAGCATAAAAGTAATACAGGAGCAAAAACCTGCAAAAGTCATAGTTTTGGATTGGATTAGATAGTTTTGAATATGGAAAAGCCTGCAAAAATTATGTGCCTAAGATAAGAGATGGCTTTATGGAGGATTTTCTAAGGGAAACTGACTTGTTATATGTAGCGAAAAAACTTTATTAGTTTATACTTTCATTAGATTTTAAAAAAAGGGTAATTTTCTGCTCAAACTATAATTTGTCGTCATTCTAAACATAAGATAAACATAAGATTTTAGGAAATCAATATTATATATGATCTACTCATTCTATAAAGATGCTCTTTAATTGAGAAACCACAGGTTTATTACTGATGTTGCATACCATAGCCACAAAAATTCTTATGTGGCTTTTATTTTGGCTACTGTTGGTGATAAAAATATACTTCCAATTACAAAAATTATTCCAATGCGGAAATTATTAATATTGTAGCAATTTTAATTGTCAAAAAGTCAATTTTGTAAAAATGACAAAATCTAACTAAGTACATCTTCCTTTGTTTTTACAGGTCCACCAGCGGCCAAATGGTATAAAATTGCTGAACACTGGTAGTTGGAATCTTATGAGCAGGCTGGCTGCATGGGCATTTTCATGGCTTTCCCCATGAGTAACGTGTATATGAGCCAGTTTTCCTTAGAAAGTTCTCCACAAAGGTATCCCTATCCTTAGGTAAATAGCCCTCGATGCTTTGCCATAATCACATAAACCAAGCCAACACTTGTTTTTACAGTTATATTTAGTTAAAGTTTGTTCTCTTTCCAAAAAATAAAATACAAAAAGTTTGACTTTTATGTGACAAAAACTGATGGAATTATTCAAAGTCTGACATCATACTTAGGGATCATACACAAATTCAAGAGTAAAATACAGTGGAATCTTGAGATACGAGCACCTCTATATATGAGAAATTCCAGATATGAGTAAAGTATGAGCGAAAAATTGATCTCTAAATACAAGCATTGGTTCAAGTAACGAGGCAGGCAGCTGGTATGTATGGTGCGTTTCCCGATCCAGCTCAACTTGGGGAATACCCTCCTCAGATTACTCAGTGTTCTTTGATCTACATGTTTGTGCACTTATGATATAATTGCTTTTTACATTTAGAGTGAAAATAATTATTTCATGATGCCTTCCAAGAAGATTGTTGCCTCAGACAGTGCTGCAAAGAAAAAGAAGGAAGCCATGGCCGTTGAAATTAAGAAAGATATCATAGATAAACATAAGCGTGGTGTATAGTGGTGTATTTAATTAGGGCAAAGCACACGAGGGCTATCTGCCTAAGAGGAGAGATGCCTTTGTGGAGGACTTTCTAAGGGAAACTGGCTCATATACACATTACACATGGGGAAAACCACAAAACGCCCATGCAGAAACTGTTGTTGGTGTAGATTAACGAGAAGCAGTTAAAAGGCGATTCAGTGTCAGAAGTTATCATTTGCACTAAGGCTCTGTATTTGGACTGTATTTGTAATATTTATCTGTATTTGGACCTTTTCCAAAAAACATCATGTATGTCAACTGAAGATGAGATGGTAATGAGATTTTTAGGGATGCTGAACAGATTAACTGGTTTTCCATTATTTTCAATAGGGAAGTTTGTTTCTAGGTATGAGAAATTCGCTATGCGAGCTCAATGTTGGAAGAAATTAAATAGAATTGCATGATAATATTATTAACATATTTTTAGCACTATACAACTTAAAAGCAACTTGTGTAAAAATGCGTTCAATGCAATTAAATTAAAGAATGTTACATACAAAGTAATTATAAAGGAATGTCACTGAATGTAAAGAGTAAAAATCAACCTTGAATTATTCTAATTTATTTTTTAACTTAAGAAAGATGGCAAATAACTCAAATTTTGAAATTAAATATCTCGCTTCATTTTTATTAGATAGAAGTCAAACTCTTTGCATTCAATTTTTCCTGAGAATCAACTTCTAATAAATATAACTACAAAGACCAGGACTACAGTACAAAACTATAAGCCACATATAAAGCTGGATTTTATAATTTTTACAAAACTGGTTTTTTACATTTAAAAATGCCAAAGCATGAATATTTGCCTTATTTAAATTGGAAGTATATGTCTACAACCAACAGTTACAACAATAAAGATCACATAATGACATTTATGCATATAGCGTATATAAATGGGATATTGATATGGAATGAACTGAAAAGTTTAAGACTGATCACTTTATTCAAAATCAGATGACTTTAAAGGCCTTGTATTTTCACTTTTTCAAAGTCTTTCAATGAAATGTTTTATGAACTACAGTTAAAAGTCGTTAATTCGGACACCCATAATCCGGACCTCAAAGCTAAAAACTTTCTGTGCATGCGGTGCGTTGACACATGCGCATAGGCCTTTACGCGTGCGCGTAAGACCTTCACGACTGCGCATATGCGTGTGCACAATACATTTTTGCATGCGCGTTTAATGTATAACGGTCGGTACAAGCTAAAATTATTTATTTCAGTTAATGTTGATAATTGCATTGTTCCTTTGAATTCAATGCGGCTTATTATTTTTTGCAGACTGTAAAAGCAATTTTATAAAAGTAAACTTGAACTTTCGATTATGTCAAATAGAATTTCCGATGCTGGAGCTCCCAAAGGATCTACAAAACGAAAGTATGTTTTCGATGTCCATCAAACAAAAAAGTGGAATTGCTTCAAAAATGGATAAGACATGAAGAAGGTGACAGAGAGGTTAGTGAAAACGAAAAAATTTCGATTGGCAAGTTAGTCGGTATTCTCGGCACAGCAATTACGGGACTTGAACAGCGGAACTTTGTAACTGAACAAGAAATTATGTCTGTTTATAGAATTAAAGAGAAAGTATTATCACATAAAACGAAGCACCTTAAACAACTTATATTGAAAGAAATGTTTAATAAAGTAAACAAATAAATATTAAGCTTTTTTTTTTTTTTTGTAAATTTTAATACCCTTTAGATCATAATTGTACTTTATTTCATAAATTACGGTTTCATATTTTTAATTTTAGAATTTCTGCATGCCATCTTAAGAGATTTTAACTGATGATCTATAATCCGGAAAAATAGATAATCCAGAATCGCCGAAGTCCCGACGAGTCCGGATTAACGACTTTTGACTGCATTCAAAAACAAGAAAAGATTGTTTTCTGACACCTCTTTTAGTAATGTAGTTGCAAAATTTAACATTTATTCATCTAAAGAGAATATCTTTTGCCATGGTTTACTTTTCGTACTATAAATGTTGAGAAACCACCTAGTATAGGCTATATGCAGCATATTCTAGAATTGACCTATCAATTTCAGGTCTCTCTCTGACTAATTATATCAAATATTTTTTCTAGTTTTTAGCACATAATATAATTAGTCTTTTAAGAATTCCATACAAAGGATGCATTTGTGATAGCACAGATGATCCTTATTTGGGGAGGGAAAAAAAAAAGCATTTATTGTACACACACATTCATTCAAATTTAACTTCTATATTTACGTACTTTTATTTAACAATATTTGACAAATGACAAGCTAATATTTTATAAAATACCTTTAGATAATGAATGAGAATCAAATATTTCTGTAGATTGCATAAATATTAAATGTGCAAGGGAAAAAATTTTAATAAAACATATTTGCAATAAATAATACAAAATTAGATATTTGATATTCACTATTAAATATATAGCAACATACAATTACCAAAAAGATTTCACACAAAATAAATAAACATACATCTCTCATAATTTTCACCGATTCTCTTAATTTTCCAAGCTTTCTGGCACACATAGCAAGCCTCCGCCTAATATACACTAGAACATTTGTATCTCGTCCTAACAAAAAATGGAAAAAAGTCATATCAGGAATATTTTTAAATTAACTTATATGACATTTTATCAACCTTTTCATAATACTTAATATCAACTTTATAACTCATAAAATTAATTTCAAAGGACTTTTGGCAAGCAACATGCATGAGACGTCTAATAAGAAATATTAAATAGTTTTAAGAAATTACACTAAGTGTACTCTTTAAAATCATTATAAGGCTTTTTTTATGATAACTCCTTAGGTGGCTGGCTGTTCAAACAGTTAATTTTCAAAAAAATAGTATCAAAGAAAATAGCGAATACATAAAAAAATGTGTGCGACAACCCCTAACACTCTATCGGGAGGTCTAAACATATGAAGTTTTAAAAATATTTTGTGTTTTTGCTCTTGAATTAAGAAAAAAAGAAAAAGGGAAAAAATATGTTAACAGTTATAAATCCAAGTGCATACTGGTATCCTGCAATGTTCAGCAAAAGCATAAAAAAACCTAAACGAATCCTCTGGTGCAACATTATAATCTGAATCTTTTCAGACTTTTTTTTCCATTTTCTCTTCCTTCCTTTAGTGGCAGCATGTTAAATGAATACAATAACATATGTCTGATGTGCTAATAACAGAATTTAATTTTATTAATAACGATACTCTCTAATGACCTGCACAACATCAAAAACATCTGGAACACAGAGAAGAATATACTGTACAAAAGTCAAAGTAAGAGTTCAATATATTAATAACAACATTTTCTAATGGCCTGCACAACATCAAAATCATCTGGAACACAGAGAAGAGTACCCTGTATAAAAAGTTGAACTAAATGAATAATTTAAAATTAAGAATTATTATTTTTAATTTAAATTTACAGAGGATGTTTACACATTTTGAGACCAATTTCAGGACCTTTTAAGTTAATGTTTAAAATGTAAATAGTAATGTTTTTAATGTTCAATAAGTTTTTTTAATGTTCTTATAACTTAATTTTCTGTAGTTATATTCAAAATTATTTCATTTATTTTTTACATTTAGTTCATTCTTAAAATAGTTCAAAAATTTTAAATAATAATTTTGTTCACTAAATAATTCCCAAGTTCTTAACATTAATTCAAAATTTTCAACATAAAATTGAAAAACATAATTATTTATCACTGTAAAATTTAATAACCTCCCTACATAATTTTTTAGGTTACAATCGTAATTTAATAAACATAATTATTAAAATTAAATTTCTAAACCATAAAATTTAATTTATTAACATTTTATAAAAGGGGCACATTTATTCTAATAGTAAGAAAAATTATAAGTAAAAATATAATTATAAGTAAGCAATACAGTAAGAAAAATAGCATTTGATATTTAAATTGCAAAATTGCAATAATCAATTAATTAACTATTTATGATAATGAAAATGTACCAAGCAATATTAGCAAAATAACATTAAATATACTAACAAAATTTGTAAATTCGAAACAGTTAAAGGAAAATATTGAATTATTATGCTAACTTTTGAATAATATTTTTTTCCGTTCGAAACAGATCAATCAAATATCAGAAAATTTTTCTTAAATTCAGACATAAAATTTAAAGTCCACAGCATAATTTTTCTTACCCTTCTGGAAAAGTATGTATGTGCTTTAGATGACCCGATGGAATAACCGAAGCGTAACTAGCATAAGAATCAATTATCTCATTTCCTTTATCGTCAAAAAGAAAATAGACAAAAAATATCTACCTGAACACTTTAAATCATTTTCGAATATATTATGCTAAATGATTTTCAGTTTACATGCAACATGAATGAACACTAGTTCTGAAGCAGTGAGAGGTTGTAAATTTAAGCACTAAACATGACAGAAAAACGATGACAGTATTTCCCCACCTTCTCGATATTGCTGTTGACAGTTTATAACAATTAAGAACTTCTGAACGTACAACTTAATTACCTACACCAACTTTTGACCAAGCGGGGGTCATTCCCCACATAAGCATGATCCTGTCCGACTCATGGTCTCTTGAAAAAGTTGGTAGCATAATGAAGAAATTTGCAGATATAGGCAAATTCATTTATTCCCTTTTTATTCAAGGTTAACACACATTTTTTATTAATACAACACAAAATGGGTGTTATAGTAGTTTGTTCTTAATTTTTTTTTTACATCAGTACTGATAGTGAAATATATTTTGGAAGACAACAGGCAGCAGCAAGTTGAAAGAGTAAAGCTGAAAGTGATGTGTTTGTGGAAGAGAAGAGTTAAAAGGTTTTTGGTTCTAAAAAAAGGAGACTGGCTATAATATACCTCCATTGCAATGTCACATAAGATTGTATGATGCAGATTAATTTTAAAATGACACTTAGATGTATATATTATGAATAATTGCAAATTTTAGCGCAGAGAGGAGAAATACCCAAATTAAAATGAAGAATAAGAGGGACTATTGCCAATTAAAATTAGTCCTTTACTTCACATATTTTTTTATCTTATACATATATCTTTTCTCTTCTCAAAAATGGACCATTTTAGTACAGGAATTACTTGCTTTGCAACAGCTTCATTTTTAAACATCTGTGCATAACGATGATTTTTTGCTTTGCCAGCAATCAATCCTAAGATAAGAATATAAATAATATTGCTCACCACATTTACACAACTTGCCTACATATGAACATGGGCACATCTTAATAGCAGAAAAGACTTTGGATCCACCTTTTGTTTGATAACAGCATGTAGTTATATTTAAGGGGAAGTTTTACAATACAAGAAACAGAATCATAGTCATTATATTATTTTCATTATTTATGGTTTCTGAACATGTTGATTCTTTAGTGTTAACAGGGTTTGTGCAAAGTACTTTGAATTATAATTTGTAGTACGTGTAGCCTCAGTGGAAGATTTATTAATTTGCCTTTCAATTTCAAACAGTGTGTGAATGGAATGGAGTGTATTAACTAAATACCATTGTAAAATACCCACCACAATGTTTCACAAATACTGACTCTTGACTTAAGTGCAAAAACCCTCTCCAACATCACTATATTTTTAATGATTATATGTTAAAATGGTACTTAAGTATTATCCCACTGACCAACCAAGTAGTAGATTTTAGCACCAGTAATGAATAATCACGTCCTTTAGAACTCTGTAGTAATGAATGATGATTGGCGTCCATTGCCGAAATTTCTGCCAGTGGTCGATGAGATAATACATAAGTGCCGTTAAAAGCTTATGCAGGTAACGTATAGGTTTAACCCCTTAACTACCGCGGGGGTATATATGCATCTTGCTCAACCGATGCGTTAACTGCCACGGGTGTATATATGCGCCCTTCCAAACTACTATCGTTTGCTTTGCGCTGCTACCCATAAAATTATTTGCAAAGCTTTGGAATGCAACACCACAATGACCTTTGCAAAGTATGCAAAGGAGGATACTATTTCAGAGAAGTTTGGGGAGAAATTGGAGAGATGGATGTGTCTAAAGCGTAAAAGTAATGACTGCGTGGTATTGGCTGGTGTTGTTTGAGTAAAACATTTTTTTTTAATTCTGGGACCTCTGTTTTCATTTGCTTTTTGTAGTAGATTCCAGGAATAAAGAAAGATATAAAGGATGTTTCAAATCCATTTATCTTTTTTGAAGAACTGCTTGTGCTTCATATTGTTACTGAAACTAACCGTTTTGTAGATGAGTATATGAACCAACACCTTGCAAACGAAAAATCAAGAACAAATCGTGGCATTCGCCCGTTCAGAAGAAATACGTTTTTTAGGCGTAGGATTTCACAGGTACCACTGAAACCTGATACAGTCAAAAAGTCGTTAATCCGTACACCCATAACGATGATCTATAATCCAGACTTTACAGCTACAAACTTCCTGCGATGCGATAATACTTTACGCATGGCGTTTAATGTATAATGGATGGTATAGCTAAGCTAAAATTATCTAATTATCTATTTCGTTAATATTGCAGATTGCGTTGTTCCTAAATTTCGATTGGTCAGGCTTATTATTTTTGCAGACTGTTAGAGCAATTTTATAAAATAAGCTTGAACTTTCGATTATGTCAAAAGAATTCGATGCTGGAGCTGCCAAAAGGATCTATAAAGTGAAAGTATGATGTTCGGGTCCATCAAAAAAAGTGGAATTGCTGCAAAATGGACAAGGGCATATCCTTTATTCTCTAACCATTCCGAAAACTTTTATCATTTCAGCTGCTCTGCGCGGGGGGGGGGGATGTCGGCACAATGAACTGGAAGTGATATGTCAGCACTATCCTTATCTTCAGGGAAGATTTTTTTATTTTATTCATTTATAATTCCCTTGAATGTAGTATTTCATCTCGATGATTCTGTCTTTGATACGATTTAAATCAAATTCCTGTCATATAAATATCACGAGTACAAATCAAATAGTTTTTTGGTTGCAATTTTCTAATTTCGAATGCGTAATGTATGCTTTACACATGAGCGCGTTGAGAAATGTTTAATAAAGTAAAAAATATATTAAGTTTTTGTAAATTTTGATACCCTTTAGATCAAATTGCTCTTTATTTCATAGATACAGTTTCATATTTTAATTTATAATTTCTGCATGCCATCTTACCAGATTTAAACTGATGTCTATATCCGGAACGCCGGTCCCGATGAGTCCGAATTAAAGATTTTGACTGTATTACACTTTACCAGTCTAAAAATGAATTGATCGAAATTCCATTTTAGGGATATTTTTTATTATAAAAATATCCTTTTTATTATAATTCTACTCAAAACTTTAAATTTTGTGCATTCACTTTTTCTTTAACTATTTATTTTGTGAAAGTAAACAGTTTTTAGAAATTAAAACTTGCACTTATTTTTTCCCCAATACATTGCATAACTATGCGCGCCTGGGTGAAAAACCGTGGCACTGGGAAGTGAATCTTATATGTTTTCTGCGGCAGTTAAGGGGCTAATAGTAATATTGAAAATGGTGATAAATGATGGGTTTAAATAATTTTAAACAAGAAGAAAGGTACAATATTTCAAACATCTTAATGTATTTGAGATTTTTATGCATGTGTTTGACAATGAATCAACAGCCCTGAATGCTGATGTTTTCATATATATCAACCAAGAAATATACATTTCAAACACCAGATATGACCATGTTTGTGTTATTAGTTAGTTGAGTATTATTTGAAAGGTCTCATGATAAGAGCCATTTATTTGGTTATGCATTTGGTAGTTTTGTAACTTTAAGAGTTATAGTAACTTTTATAGCAAAATGGTGATATTATTTCCAAGAAAATCAAAGTGCAATTTTGTATAAAACATAGGCACTAAATATGAATTCATAGAAGTTACTTTTATAAATATAAAACAATAACAGATAAATACACTGTTCTCCAAATGTTAAAGAACAGCATGTTTTTCAAAGCTCACCATTACAAAAATGCCAGTAACATTAAAATTCCCAGTTTATATGAATGATAGTAACGAAGTTTTAAAAAATATATATGCAATAACAATAGCTACAACTTTTACTTTATAAAAATGAATACTTATACAGGAGTTGGAGAAAAAATGCATAAAATGTAAGTTCTATTCACAAGTGTTGATCTTCAATTGTTATTAGCAATTTCGTTGATAACATTGAGAACAGTCTATGAATGTCCAGGAAAAGTCGTTTACCTGATTTTTTGAGATGGTGGATGATCAGATGGATCGAAATGGCGAAGTCACAAGTTGATGCTGCTAGACATCACAATGTCTCTTGTAGTGTGGCTCACCGACTATGGAATCAAAATTGAATCCAAAGATTCTGTGTTTAGAAGAAATATTACAGGCAGACTAAGAGTTACAACACCTGTGGAAGACCATTATTTAGCTCTTTCAGGCCAAAAGAGAAGCAATATTACTGTGTTAGGCATCTCCTGGAGCAATCAACAACAATGGACGTCTATTCTCTTTGCAGATGAGTCCAGGTTCGCATAGGAGAGTGATCTGAAGATCATCAGCTGATCTGAAGGGAACAACACACCAGATACAACCAATCCCACATTGTGGAAAAATACAGTTACAGAGGTGGTGGAATAATGGTTTGGGTTGGGATCTCTCTCAGTGGTCACACTGACCCGCATGTGTTCCATGGAGGAACTTTGACCAGTGTGGGATATTGAGCCGGGATCAATATGTCCACCCATATGTCGCTGCTATTGGTCCTGCATTTTTTCTGAAGGATAACAATGCATGATTACATCATGCTCGGATTGCTGAAGAATATCTTGAGGGTCATGGTATCGAGCAGATGGAATTGCCAGCTCAATCTCCAGACATAAATCTGATACAGCATCTTTGGGACTACCTTGGGAGACAAGTTGCTACTTGTCAAGTCATCCTCCAAGGTAGTTAGATTGAATAAGGATTATTCCATGTCTGGTCATTGCTTGCTACTTCACTGACAGTCAGTTAACTTAATTGACAGCTAAGAACATCGCTGCTGTCAATGTATTGCAGCTAGGTGTGGTCACATTCCTTAGAATCCATTTCTGTAATGTTACCAACACATTTTTCTTCAAAAAGATTGTATGTACTATTTCTCTAAGACTGGATTTCTCTGCCAAGAGTGAATTTTTTTTTTTGTTATAATTCATGCTTGTGTTGAACTTAAGAAACATTCAATTTCACATTCATTAGAGAATTGTTTAGTGAACATGTCCTCTGAATTTCTTGTTTCAATGTTGCTTCATTCTCAAATTAAGACACAAAAAACTTGCTGTTCCTTAACTTTTGGAGGGCAGTGTATAAACAGATAATAGGATATAAAAAATATAAATAGGATAATAATTATTTTTTAATATCCTATTATCTGTATCCTATTTTTTATATCCTATTATAGTAATAAATAGGATATAAAGATTATCCTTATTCTGTTTTTGTTTTCTCCTCCTTTTATTTATTTACTTATTACTTTACTTGTATAGAAATGGGCCTGGCAAATTGCAAAAATTATTGAATTTTAACATGGAAATATATTATGCAGGGAAAAAAAAGATGAATAATTCCACTGAAAATATTTACTTATATCTTAAAAGTAACTTACTATGCAGTGATTCCTGTGTAGGACCTTGATGCTGTACTTGTTGACTTTTCCTGTAGTTAACTTCAGCTACCTTTAAAGCCTGACGAAAAAGCTTTTCTGACTAAAAAAAATCACATTAGTCATAATTTTTAATAAATTATATTCATGTATTTATATATATATATATACAACAGTAATTATGAACACATATTTTGAATAAATTTCAATACTATATATAAAAATGAAAAAAATTAAATATAGTATAATACTATAATAAGGAAATCTTTAAAAAATTTATTATGGGGATTTAATTATAAAGTACTCTCAATGATTTTTTAAATTTTGTAAGAACAGTTTTATAAATTTTAATTATTAATTAATATTTAATTATATTTAATTATTAATTATAAATATTTAATTATTAATTAAATATTTTAAAACATTTTATAAATATTAATCAGTGATGCATCACTTTGAAATAATAACATTGCAATGCCAGGAAATAAATGTATATGTGCTTCAAGAAATTCTAGATAAAAGATACTTGAATAATAGCTTTGAAAAAATGATTACTTCTAAGATAGTTGAAGATTCTTCTTCAGCAAGAAGAATATAAGCAGGAGCACATCTAGACAGGAGAAAATATAATTTAAAAAACAAAAATTACTACGGAAAGTACATCACAAATTAAAATTTTTTTAAATGTTAAAATTATATATAGTTTTAGATTAACCCTCTGTATGCATGTATGTATGCATATATATATGTACACTGCTCAAAAAAAAAAAAAAAAAAAAATGGGACAGTGCTATATCTCCCGTTCTACTGGGGCGATTGACAAAATTCAAACTACGTTTTTCATGTCTCGAAAGCGTGACTTAGGATATATATTAGATTATATATAGTACTATTCTAACATAGGTATTTTGACACAAAATCGGACTTTTTTTGAATAACATACCAATTTTTTTTACATATTTCGATTCTACGACTCAAATTATGCCAGAATACCAAGTTTTGTAAAAATCGTACGAATAGTTTTTAAAATATTAGCTCTCAAAATTTTAGCTCCTCAATGTTAATTGAATTTGCAAATATTTATTAATATCTTTTTTTTATTAAACTTTTTGATTTTTTCTCTCATATTTCGAAATTTTGGTTCATTCCAAATAAAATTTACCCATTTTTTGCGTTTTATTTTTTAAATTTTTATTTTTAAATAATTTCTATAGATTTTTCGAAAAACATTTTGAATTATAACCTATAAAATTTTTACCATCATCTTAAAGTAGGTGTATTTTAAGCATATCTGCAAAAAATTAGACTTTTTTACTCAAAATTTTCTAAGATATACACGAATTTACATAATTTCGGGTTTTGAAAAATTTGGCACCTTTTTTTTGAGCGATAATAACGCCAAATGTGGTCTATGGATTTTTGTTACACTGAATTGCCACAGCTATTTTAACCTTAAACTTCAAGTAAAATTTACGGAGAATTAATATATATCACATTTTTTCCCTCAATGATGCGTAATAAATATTTATTAATACTATATGAAAAGCTATTTTTCTTTAATTTATAGATGATATTATTCAAATTTTTAACTATTTTTTAAAATTTCTCCCTATCTTCCTTTTTTTTTTTTTTTAAAAAATTAAGAGTAAGTTTTTGTAGAGTAAATTTTTACCTTCGGCGTTTTATGTCTGCTACTTTACTTCGTTTAAATCGAATTGTCTAAAACTGAGAATTTTCGTTTGATATTTATTTGAATTTTATGACATTAACTGCATAATTTATTTCTAAACAAAACTGTTGCTTTGAAGTGGCTGAAAGGGCGGCTGATACTATTATCCATATTTTTAAAGCACAATATATTTTTATAGAAACATAATATTTAAAATAATCATCTTTTATAAAAGTCAAATTATGATATAAACATACAACCCTCTAGAGACTGAATTAATGGAAGTTTAATGGTTATGTAGAAATGATCTGCAGCTACTTAATGGCTGGATAAGTCAGCAGATTCTGTGGACAAGTAAGAATAATTATATAAACGACACCAACATTCTGGATTCAATAAACAACGAGGATACGATGTTTACAAATGAATTTAAGAAGTTTTAAAAACATAAAAAATCAACTCATTTTTTTCCTAAAATGTATTTTGTGCGTAGCGTATTTTCATTATATCCTTAAAATTCTAATTTAGAATGTAATTGTCAAGAACTGAATCCTAATCATCAGTAATATAATAAGTAATTATTACTGTTTTAAAAATCCTTCTTATAAAGTAATTGCAAATATTTCAAAAAACTTTCTGTCTGAATGCAAACATTTTCTATGCAAATATTTTTATATTAATCAAAATTGCACACCATATTACTTATTTCCACTTCAATTCTTACCGTCAGTTCTAGTAGAATTTACAAATCAATTATATTTAATTAAGGATTGAATTGGATTATTTATGGCAAAGAACATGAGGGCTATCTGCCTAAAGGGAGGGATGCCTTCGTGGAGGATTTCTTAGGGAAACTGGCTCGTATACACGTTACACATGGGGAAAACCACGAAACCGCCCATGCGGCCAGCCCGTTCGTGGGATTCGAGACTCGAACCGAACTACCAGCGTTCAGCGTCTTTACTGCTCGGCTGTTGGTGGGCTATTTAATTAAGGAATGACCATCTAAGTTAAGAAACAGCGTACCGTAAAAACATTTCAATTATTGGTTCCGTATCTTTCATGTTACTCCCGATTGGCTAGCTACATGATTTTTAATGAGTATTCGGATTTTACTAGTAACTTCACTTGGAAATCGCGCTTAAACTAGGTTAGTTGGTTATTTGAACATAGAAAGAACATGGGAGCGCTATTTGATTAAGATGCTTTCATAGAGAATCTTTGTAAAGAGAACCTAAAAAACTACGAAAAACCAACCATGCAGCCTGGGTTAGACTGAGCAGCAAAACAATTAGTATTTAACATCTTTCTTTTTCAAATGCTAGGCAACTGATGAGGCTCCAATTAAATCTCCAATTTAATATTTTATTTGTAAATATTTAAAATATTGTTGTATTCTTTGACACAAAAAGCAGAATTTAAGTTTTGTTAACTTGTTAGTAAACTACCAAGCCGTAATGCAAATGAATATTCAATTTCTTTGGCAATAATTGTATTCACTTAATATTCTTGGAATATGAGCTAAAGAAGGAACGTTCTCGGAAGATTAAAGAAGTGTTTAAATCCAGTAATATTAGGTTTGTCTTACAAGCTCAGGATCAAAACGATTCTGCAATTGCCCGAGTAGTTGACTTGTAAATGGATGTGAATTAAGCAGATGACTTTTAATCTTACGTTATTCAGCGGTCAGAAAACGTATTCCAAATGTTTTGTATTGCCATGACAATGCATCTTTTCATTATTCAATAACCAATCGGAGAAACCGCTTCTGTTTCGAAAATAAGTATGTATGTACTCAATCGTCCTGCATATTCTTCAAATTTGTCTTCTTGCGATTTTTTTTTTCTTTTCCCAAAACTAAAGTTGCCTCTCAAAGGAAAAGTTTTTTGACATTGGAAGAGGCAAAATTAAGTATGACATATCTACTTTTAGAGGCATGTCAAAAACAGATCTCTACAAGCCTCTCTTTTTCCCATTACATGCTTGTGCATTGAGACAAAAAGTTGCATCAGCGTTAAATTCTATAATCTATTTTTATTACACTCTGATTACTCTTATATTAACATACAGTGAATATATACTAAATCCTTTTACTGAAGCTTCAAGTAATTCGGAATTTTTGACAGAATTGTTGTCGGAACTAGGACTTTAGAAGATAAGTCAAATTAAATATTTCGATAACCCAGTAAATTCAAGTTCGAAATTTCAATATTTTATTTTCGGAGGAGGGAGGGGAAATGTTTCAGTTTTGGTCCATTATACTAAGTATATTTGCTTCGATTTTTTATTTTTCCATAAAAGCGAAAATTTACGCATGGTATACATATAACGCATAGCTTCAAATTAAAATTTAATAATTATAGAGAGTGGTTATAATTAAAGTTCCACATTGAAACGGTCATAAAAGGAAAACTACTGGATTCAAATGTTATCAAACTTGGAAATCGTGTAAAGGAGGTCATGAGATTTATTTTCCGTGGAAAAAAAGGGAGTTCGAAACCTCACCACCAGGGGGAAATGGCGCTGTATGCAATATTGTTTAAACGAAATATGGGTCGGAATTAACTTAACCTTTTTGTTAAACGGGTTTAATATGTTGTATACCCTTAAGAAACTTTGAAGTAGGCAAATTATTATTTTAAAGAAGTTAAATTCGATAAATGTCGAGTGCGCCATCCCTGTAAGTGAGAATTCGTCCGTGAAAACCACGAATTAGCGATTAGAAAATGTGAGATCGCAATCGCAAATCATCTCACAAATGCGTACAATCTGGAAATCGTTTTCTTACAGATCGCTAATTTAATTTTTTAAGCCTGAATTCGGCACTAAACTAAAACGAAGATAGTGATTCAAAGTGCTTTTAATCGATTTGGGCCAAAGAAATCTCTCATGTTATCTATCTAGTTCCATTGCATTCTCCTACTGCATTCGATTGATTGCATAACAGTCATTTCACACCGTTTACTGTTGAATGACAGCTAGTTTTTATTATAACTGAACCATTTTTTTCTGAAGAGCAGTCGACAGCTGGACCGCTGCGATTGCAGCTCACTTAGAGCCAATATTAAAATGTTTCGTGATACATGAACTGCAGTAACATGGCATTTTAGATACGATTTTTATGCAGGGCTGGGCACCACCTCAAGAGTGTCGCATAGTTACATAGGCAAACATTTCACGATGAACGTCTTATAGGCCAACACTTCCCCTCTTCCCACCAGACTTCAACCTCTGTGACTTTTGTCTATGGGTTATCTCAAAAGCACTGTTTATGGTGATAATCTAAACAATTTGGCAGAAATGAAAAAATGTGATACACTGATAACATTCTCTGATATGCTATGTGTAACGTGTATACGAGCCAGTTTCCCTTAAAAAGTCCTCCACGAAGGCATCCTCCCTTAAGGCAGATAGCCTCGAGTGCTTTGCCGTAATCTAATAAACCAAACCAAAACCAAACCTGATATGCTAAGAGCTGCTGTTGAGAATGCAGTAACACGATTTAACTTGCTTTCAGAAAATGCTGGACGCTACATTGAACATGCTTTGTAACACGTTTCGGAAAATATTAAAAACATTTTAAACAGATGTTTTCGTGTCTTATTTCATTTAACAATATTGTATACAGCGCCATTTTTCCCCTGATGGTGAGTTTTTGAACTCGTTTTTTTTTCCACCGAAAATAAATTCTCATAACCTCCTTTAACATGATTCCCAAGTTTGATAACATTTGGTCCGGTAGTTTTCCTTTTATGACCATTTCAAAGTGGAACTTTAATAATAACCACCATGTAAAATAAGCTTTTTTAAAAGTCTGACAGTTTGGGTCAAGTCCCAACTTTAAAAAATATATATATAAATATAAATTTTTATATTAATTCTCTTAGAAAGCATGTTTTAAGAAGCTAATTTTTCTCTCGCGTTATAGATTGAATAAAAAA